CTTAGTGGTCGAGTGAGTGATTGCTCGAACTCAAAATAATAGTAGCCCATAGGCTCAGTAGTCGAGTTAGTGATTGCTCGAACTCGAAATAAGAGTAGCCCGTAGGCTTAGTAGTCGAGTGAGTGCTTGCTCGAACTCGAAGTAAAGTAGCCCGTAGGCTTAGTAGTCGAGTGAGTGATTGCTCGAACTCGAAATAAGAGTAGCCCGTAGGCTTAGTAGTCGAGTGAGTGCTTGCTCGAACTCGAAGTAAAGTAGCCCGTAGGCTTAGTAGTCGAGTGAGTGATTGATCGAACTCGAAATAAGTGTAGCCCGTAGGCTTAGTAGTCAAGTGAGTGATTGCTCGAACTCGAAATAAGAGTACCCCGTAGCTTAGCAATCGAGTGAGTGCTTGCTCGAACTCGAAGTGAAGTAGCCCGTAGGCTTAGTGGTCGAATGAGTGATTGCTCAAACTCAAAATAAGAGTAGCCCGTAGGCTTAGTAGTCGAGTGAGTGATTGCGCAAACTCAAAAGAAGAATAGCCCGTAGGCTTAGTAGTCGAGTGAGTGATTGCGCAAACTCAAAAGAAGAATAGCCCGTAGGCTTAGTAGTCGAGTGAGTGATGTCTCGAACTTGAAATAAGAGTAGCCCGTATGCTTAGTAGTCGAGTGAGTGCTTGCTCGAACTCGAAGTAAAGTAGTCCGTAGGCTTAGTTGGACTTGATCTCGTTGATGTTTTGGTTGGCAGTCCCCGTTTTATGGGGTAATGGTCGGCCGTTAAGCCTGTTTGCATACTAGATCACGAAATAAAGGATGGATTCTGAGATATGGGATATCGGTAAAAAATTCTCTTTATGTCATTATACATGTGTTTATGTTCTATACTAGGGATCGAGCAAAACTATGCGGGCATGGTTCGTTTTGACCATTTGGCCCTTACATTTTTCCCTATCAAGACCCTGTTTGACATGAAATAAATTTCTTATTAGATGGTAATGCCCCCCAGTATTCAAGGTTGTTTGTAAAGAGGCCTCGGATACTGTTGAATTGTTCCCAGTTAGCAGGATCGATGGTTGCCTCATTAAAAACCTTGCCAAAAAACTGTGGCCGGCCGTGGCATCGATCATGCGTTCGATGTTAGGCAGTGGAAAAGTAAGGATCTCGTGGCCGGCCGTGGCATCAATCATGCGATCGATGTTAGGCAGTGGAAAAGTAAGGATCTCGTGGCCGGCCGTGGCATCAATCATGCGATCGATGTTAGGCAGTGGAAAAGAATATTTGTGGCACGCTTTGTTTAAATCCTTATAATCTACACACATTCTAAGTTCGTTCCCCTTTTTAGGGACTACAACTACATTGGCTTACCATTCGGGATATTTCACCTCCCGAATGGACCCTATTTTGAGAAGTTTAGTTACCTCGTCCTTCATGAATGCATGCTTTACCTCTGATTGGGGTCTTCTCTTTTGCTTGACCGGTTTAAACCTAGCGTTCAGGCTTAGCCGATGCGTCGTTATCTCCAGTGGGATCCCTGTCATGTCTAAATGGGACCAAGCAAAACAATCTATGTTATCAATAAGAAATTGAATAAGCTTTTTCCTGAGTTTGGGGGTTAATCCCGTTCCCAAGTATACCTTTCGCTCGGGCAGGTACTCGATCAATATAACCTATTCCAGCACTTCGACCGTTGATTTGGTGGCATCAGAATCTTCGGGTACAATAAAAGTTTGAGGGGTCAGAAGTTCCTCCTCTTCTTATTCTATCTCCTGCTTCTTTGATTCAGTCGAAGCTAGTGGCTATGATTGCTATTTGACTTCATGTTTACCTTCGATGCTCGACCTTTCCGAGGTTGATAGTGTTGATATCGGTGTTACCTCATCCACCGCAAATATTTCCTTTGCAGCATGCTGCTCCCCGTATACTATTTTTACACCGTCTGACATTGGGAATTTCATCATTTGGTGGAGAGTCGAAAGGACTGCCCTCATATTGTGGATACAAGGCCTTCCGAGCAGGGCATTGTACCTCATGTCGCCCTCGATTACGTGGAACTTGGTATCTTGTATGGTTCCAGCCACGTTCACAGGTAGAGTAATCTCCCTTTAGTTGTTTCACTGGCCATATTGAAGCCGTTTAAGACCCGAGCTGCAGGAACAATTTGATTTTGTAGGCCGAGCTGCTCCACGACCCTCGATCGGATGATATTCGCCAAGCTACCTAGATCCACTAAAACACGCTTAACTTGAACTTTATTTAATAAGATAGAAATTACCAGAGCATCGTTGTAGGGCTGGGAAATGTCCTCTGCTTTTTCGTTGTTGAACGATAAAATGCCTTCAGGCACATAATCTCAGGCTCATTTTTCTCTAGTGATTTATATCTTAGTGTGTTTGAATATGGGTCACTGTGGAGTATCGACCCCACCGACGATCATATGAATGATATGTTGGGGTTCCTCCTGTTCATTTTTCCTATTGGCGTCCCTTTCTCTGAAATGATTCTTGGCTCGATCGCTGAGGAACTCTCGAAGGTGGGCCTCATTGAATAGACGGGCTACCTCCTCCCTTAATTGCCTACAATCTTCGGTCTTATGACCATGTGTGCCATGATACTTGCACATCAAATTTGGGTTTCTTTGGGAAGGATCGGTTTGTATGGGTCTGGGCCACCTAGTATCTTTGATCCTTTCGATTTCTGACACAATGCTCGATGAATCGATGCTAAAGTTATATTCTGATAACCGATATGCTTCTGTGTGATCGGCATACTTGTCAAAACCACTTTTGCTCATAAGTCCCCAAGAATTCTGTCCTCGATCACTTCTTTGATTGTTCCGGGCAGAATTGCATCCTGAACCATTGTTCCTTCGATCTGCGGTATATGGTTGATATCGGTCTCTGTTCGACCTTGAATCCCTGTCGACGTCCCTCTGGTTTTTAACTACCGACCTGTTTGGATGTACTGAACCGGAAGGGGCTCCTAATTGGTCGTCCTCGACTCTGATCTTTGATTGATATCGATTGTGCATATCTTCCCAAGTTACAGCCAGATACTCGATCAAATTTTGTTTCAGCCGACGTGATGAAATCAAACTCCGATCGTTCAACCCTTGGGTGAAAGCTTGAACGGCCCAATCATCTGTGACCGGTGGCAATTCTATGCGTTCCATTTGAAATTTGGACACGAATTCCCTCAGCATTTCATTATCCCTTTGTCTTACCTTGAAAAGGTCTGATTTCCTCGTTGCGACCTTTATGGCCCCTGCGTGTGTCTTTATGAAAGAGTCCGCTAACATGGCGAATGAGTGGATAGAGTTTGGTGGTAGGTTGTGATACCAAATCATTGCTCCCTTCGAAAGGGTCTCTCCGAATTTTGTCAACAGCATATATTTGATTTCATCGTCTTCTAAATCGTTACCCTTGATGGCACATGTGTAAGAGGTGACGTGTTCGTTGGGTTCGGTCTTTCCATTATATTTAGGAATCTCGGGCATGCGGAGTTTTTTGGGGATCGGTTTTGGAGCTGCACTTGGCAGAAAAGGCTTTTGCACGAATTATTTGGAATCCAACCCTTTCAACACCGGTGGTGCCTCCGGGATCTGATCGACCCTGGAGTTATATGTTGCCACTTTTTTGTTGGTTTCTTCGATCCGTTTTGTGAGTTCCTCAAGTATCTTAGCAATTTCGGGATTAGTTCTCGATTCTTGCTCATTTGATCATACTACTGCTGGCTTCGTTCTGTGAGTGATTTCTCGGGGTAGACTGGGCTCTGGCCTGCTCGGTACCTGGGTTTCTCGATCTGCAGATCGAGTACCACCATGAATGCTATTTTCAGGTTCAGAATGTAGGTTTGCCTCAATGGCCACATGCGAATTAACGTCTAATGGCACTTCGACTCGAGCTCCAACAACATCGACAAGCGGCCTTTTGGCCCTGGGCGTCAAGTTGTTGTACTCACCTTGAAGGCCAACTTCGTTGTCGATAGGTAAGGCCATTTAATTAACAGCTCGTCGTTGCTAATCCAAAATCAAAGACACTTCCGAAAACAAGCGTAAAATGGTTTGTTTTGCAGATTCATATCAAATAATCACTATTATCCCTAGCCCCACGGTGGGCGCCAAACTGTTTGTCCGAAAAATGGATAGAGTTGAATTTGTACGTAGTTCTAAGGGTATGTGGTATAACTTGACAGAAATCGTAAGAGTAAGTAGAAATTTCAAATATTGACTATAAAGAAAAGATACAAACAGAGTTGAAAGGAAGATGATTTATGGATTAAACAAGATGAATCAATCTATAAGGCTAAAAAGGATAATTCTTCAATATGGGAGTGTATTGTATCTGAGTTACAATGTATTAAGGACTTGATAGCCCCCTTTACAGGAATAATAACCATCCCTCTTATAGAGGAGGGATCCTACTTTGGATATAATAAAAAATACATAGTGGTTGTAACGGCTCTTGTCTCTTGGCTCGATCTTGATCAGACTTGGTATCGGTCGGTTTCCAGGTTTAGAGCTCGATGTGGGTTCGAGCTCGATATTGACTCGGGGTCCAGTATTGACTCGGGGTCGGTATTGGTTGGCCTCTGGCCCTTAAGCTTGATTCCATCACTTCTCATCATAGTTCGATTGGACTCGAGCTCGATAATGACTTCGAACTCGGTATTTGACTTGTCCCTGAAAATCGAAGCTCGTTTGTGCCTTATTCGGATCTCATCTCGATATTATGAAGACTCTCTTCGGTCCATTATGTTCCCATCTCGACCAGTCGTACGAAGGCCGAAATCGGTTTCGACCGTATACAATCTCTCATGGTCATGTGAATGCTTTAATGACTTATTTCTTTCCAAAGGAAAATCCGTTTGACTAAAATGATGCGTATAAGATTTAGGTAGGTAACATAGCGATAGTGGAGAGTTGAACCGAAACACATAAAATTCTAGGATGAACTTACTTTGTTAAATCGTCCGCGTTCACAGCTGTGCTATCTGCACGTCTATTTACACATAGGAAAATAAGTCCATACGTCCACCGAATAACGCGTAACTGGCGCCTATAAAATCTCTCCCAAAAACCTCTTTGTTCATTGTTCCTGCCCTAACACCAGAAGAAAGAGCAAAAAAAGAATTGCAGAGAAATGGGTATTCTCAAAGCTACTGCGTTGTTAGATGATCTGATTGAGAAAGCAGGAGGTTGTGCTGTCGTTGATGGCGGTTTGGCCACGCAACTCGAGAAGCATGGCGCTTCCATTAATGATCCTCTCTGGAGCGCTCTTTGCTTGATCAAAGATCCTGATCTTGTCAAACGGGTACGCCAAACGCAAGGAATTTATTTGCGTACTACTAATATGTGGCTAGCTTTATTATTTGAATGCGCGCAGGTACATTTGGAATATCTGGAAGCTGGCGCAGATATACTAGTGACCTCATCCTACCAGGTACGTTATGGCTAATTCCAGGATTTAAAAATCCTACTTATTTGGAACAGTTTCTAAGTTTATGGTTGTAGGCCACAATTCCAGGATTTTTATCAAGGGGATTATCCATTGAAGAAGCAGAATCGTTGTTAGAGAAAAGTGTGAAGTTAGCAGTTGAAGCCCGGGATAAGTTCTGGAATGTTGTGAAAAGAAATCCCACACAGAGCTATAACAGGGCTCTGGTTGCAGCCTCAATTGGAAGCTATGGAGCGTATCTTGCTGATGGTTCAGAGTACAAGTAGATTACCTTGTTTTATTATGAACTACGAACAAATTCAATTACATTTAATGTATGTTTGAGGTCCCAAAAGTCTTCATCTTGTGAACTTTGTCCCTACCAGCGGAGATTATGGACCACATGTAAGTCGGGATAAGCTCAAGGATTTCCATCGACATAGACTACAACTTCTTGTGGATGCAGGACCAGATATACTGGCATTTGAGACCATTCCCAACAAATTAGAAGCTCAGGTATTGTCTTGCATTTAATTCCTTGTATATAGATCGCCATTATTTTGTAGGAAGAGCTATGACATCGTTGTTTGGCAGTAATGTTCACCAGACATCTTGTTAATCATTGTGGATATTGTTTACCCTTAAAATGAGTAACAATTAAATTTGTTCGCGGTTTAAAGGATAAGGATTTAATTTAACACGAATGATCTAAGAACAACAAATAATTAAATTAAAGAGATAAAAAAGGATCAAACCAAATGCGGTGGAACGATTTAGCGTGGCTTTAAGTTGAACTTTGAAATTGGCTCCGATCGAGCCCTCGATACGGGCTTAGTTGTAACTAAAGAAAAGAGGAACTGAAGAACACTTTGAGCAACAACTAAAAGACAAAAATAAACTTTATTGCTATGATATGCGTGGGACAGTGGGTTAAAAATAAAAAAGTTCTCCCTTTTATATAGTAGGGGAGTTTAATCCTAGTACAAGTCTAAATAAGATAAAAATCCTCTCTTTTTTTCGGTAAATGTTGATCTGCAGTTGATATCAGGCGAGATTTGCGCCGTAATATCCGGTTGAGGGCGGATATTATGGCTCCCCACTTATCGTGCTTAACTGTTTCTATTTTTCCTTAATCTCGAATCTTTACTCTGCCCGGACCCTATGTTCAGCCATGTCCAATTCCGAATGTACAGTTCGTCCTCCCCAGGCTCCGAAACGAGGAACCCTTCGGCTGTAATCGAGGTTGCGTCAGATCATGCTTCCATCTCGTTTCTTTACCGGAAAATCGGGGTAACATTATCCCCGATTTTAATTGCACACAAATATCTATCTTAATCGGTTCTTGCTTTCTTGATTAAGAGCAGAATACATTCATATAATTGACATCTCCATATATTTATTTGTCTTGGCAGGTCAATAACATTCTTTTTGAAACATGGATCTATTAAATTGCTTACACAGTAAAAACACTGGCATAAACAGCTTCTTAATAATTCTTTTTTTATTATTCAAACAATGTATCCCCAGTCTAATTCTTAATAACACAGCTAAAGTAGGACAGAGTTTATTTCCCACGTAGAGGAAATAAGAGCTCCAAGGTGCCTCATATAGGCTCAAATGCCAAATCATCTGTGTGTCTTAACAAAAAATGTTGCTTAAAATGCCTTCTAGAACGACAAATGATTTTTGCCTGCACCCTTTGAAATTGACATAATTTGTAGCTAAACGTTCTGAATTTTTACTTTATTTGGTAGTTTTCGCCAAGGCAATACTAGGCTTGGAGATTGGTTCATTGAAATTTTCCGTACCACATTATGAAATTAATGGTGCAGGCATGTGTGGAGCTGCTTGAAGAAGAAAATGTACAGATTCCTTCTTGGATATGTTTCAGCTCAGTGGATGGTAAGAACGCGCCATCGGGAGAAAGCTTCAAGGACTGCCTTGATGTAATTAATAGGAGTGACAAAGTTAGTGCATTTGGAATTAATTGCGCACCTCCCCATTTTATTCAAACTCTCATCCAGAAACTTAAGGAGGTAATCATTCTCATTTGTAAGAAAATTATCTTTATAAGATAAGTTCAGTAGAATCATAACTTAGAAATTGGGCACATCATTTCTGATCTAGTTCAATTCCACAGTTGACAACAAAGGCAATAATTGTTTATCCCAATAGTGGTGAGATATGGGATGGCATTTCAAAAAGATGGCTGGTAACTTTTTCTTATCACATGCCTGGATTCCCAGACTTCCTTTTGAGTGAATCTCTAGGTATATATTCATAACACTATTTGATGACCTTATTGGCAGCCATCGAAATGCTTTGATGAAGAGAAGTTCGAGCTGTTTGCACCAATATGGCGCGACGCAGGTGCTAAACTCATCGGTGGTTGTTGCCGGACAACACCGTCCACTATTCAAGCTATTTCAAAAGCCCTAAAGGAAAGATCTGGATTCGACTGAGCTTTCTAACTGGGCCATCAAAGGTTCAGAAAATGCTTATCAAATTGTTGTATTTGTGTATCTTCATTTATAACATAGGAAAAACGATATAACTTCTTGTTAGGGGTGGGGGAAAAAGGTGTTGTTGGGGGTGAGTGGTGATTAAGAGGTAGTAGATGGAGCAGATAGTAGCTATTGATCCAAACAGAGCAGAGAGAAGCAATTGATAAGGATTTGGTTAGCCCATCAAGTACCCCTTTGTTGTGGCATTGGTTCGGAATATCCCAGTAGCCATGCTGTGTCTGCAAAAATTGCATATTTACAAATTATCTCTATCTCGGTAGGCAACATTAGCACTTAAAAACTGTTTGACAAACAGAACTTAAGGTAATCCATAGATTAAACTATACCATTGAGCAAAAAAAGATCTGTGGGGTACACTCAAAGTTAGATGGTGTTGAGCTGAGCCTGAAATGATGTTTTGATAATTAACAAACCATATCCGAGAACCAGGTTTCATGTTCCAACTTGGTGTGCTACTAGACTAATAGACAGATTGTTGACGATTAATTTTGACCCTCCCTCTCTTCTAATTAAATTATTACGCTTCTTGATCAATAATAATGTAATAAGGTATTTTTGAAATTATTATTCAAATTATCTATTTTTCTAGACATATATAGTAAGTAATATATAATATGCTTATAATTATAAAATAATAATGTAGTCTTAAATAATTACAATCATACCACCACTATTATTTTAATTAATTAACCAATCGGCTTTTATGATTTTAATATATATAACTATGAGATTTTTTAAATTATTTTGATAATATAAAATTAGCTTGTAGTAGTTGGTTAATAATATTTCTGTTAATTGTACTTAGTATGTTTTATTTGGGATTAAATAAGTTTACTTAATTTAATTATGAAAAAGGGGTTAAGATTTAAAACAGGATACATTTGCAATTAGTGAATTTTGATTAAAGTGGCTATGGGGTTTAATTTCAGCCTATTCTTTCAAGAACCCAACAAATTTGGTCCAAAATTGGCCGAAAAAAGCACTCCAAAGTCTCTCACAGTGCACAGGGATCGTTGATCAAACTTATCAACGGTCCACATTAATCACACTTTTTCCCTTTAATTTTAATCCCTTCAGTTTGTATCTCAACCGTTGGATCAATATGATCCAACGGTCCCCGTTTAATCCTCATAATTATTATTTTTTTATTCTTTAAACTAAAAAAATATGAGCCATTGATCTAATTGATCCGACGGCCCAAGAACACTCCTCCATTTTAAACATACCAACCCCCCAAACCCTATGACATTCCCTCATTATGACAGCCGCCAAATCTCCCCTTTCCTCTCTCGCTCTCGCCGTCCTCTCCTCTTTTCAATCTCTAAGACTTAGCACAAATTGAAGCAAAGTCACTAAGAGACAACTCTGAGACCATTATCATTACCCCCAGCTACGAATCTAGCCGAAAATGCCTATTTCCATCATCCCATTCCAAACCCCCAAATTCTGAAACCTTATCCTCAAATATGAAAGGCCCCGAATCTCATCATCACACCCACCTCTGTTCAAAATTTCCATTAAAACATGGCATGCAACTTCAGATTCATGAGAATCTCAACCTCACCGTGACGTATGATGACCCAGAGGCCAAACAAAGGGACCTCTGGGTAAAAGCTTTGTCCGGAGGTCACTAAGCTTCAACGACTAGCCTGTTCTGAGAGGGTAATCCTTATTCTCTTTTCCCTCTGTTTTTTTTATCTTTTTCCCTTGATATGGTCATATGATCTTTCATTAGCATTCATAATTCTTCTCTGTCTTCTGTCAATTTTGAATGTTCAAACTAAGAATCCTAAGGCCAATCCTTGGCTATAAATACCGTCTTAAATGCATCACCTAACAATCGAACAACTGGTAGTAAATGCAACTACACTAAAGTATAAATATCTCTGCCCATCGCTTATAATTTCTTTTCCTTTTTTTCGTTTATAGTTGAGCTTAATCGTCTTGAAGTTGGCTGTGAGTACTAATTCCTAACAACTAAGTTCAATAAACTGGTTTGTTGCCCTACGGAAGGTCAGTACACTTTTTACAATTCGTTTCAATGGCCAGATCTCGTTTGTAGCTTCTCATGTGTAGTTATTCTACTTAATTGGTGTAATGTGTGTGTTTCAATCTTGTATTGGCAGTCGTGTGTATCTTATCATGTTAGCATATGAAGCATGTTATGAGATTTGTCTACCTAGCTTAGCATGTTATACTTTATGGTTTAATCGTGATCATGTTTCGTTTTGTTAAATACCTATTGACTTGAAATCACATGTCTGCTTTGTTAGTGTAAGCTGTAAACAAGTGCTCTTGCCATCTTATGACTGTTTGTTGTCGTGAAGACTATGTTTCGAAGTTTTTCATTAGCATGAGTTGACACTGCCTAGTCTGTTGGTTAAGCACTGTTGGTATATGATGCTTGATAGTTCTAACTAAATGTTATTCTCTTTTACTATGCACTATTATGTTATAGATACCATGCCTATAGGGTTTAATTTGATATTAAAATCAGATTACTCTATCATGTTGAATAGCTCTTGTTGTCACCTCTGTTAACATGACCTTTGTGAGGCTAGTTCTGAGCCTGAAATGCTTGATCGAGGTAGCTAAATATGCATTGAAGTTTGGGTCATTAAGTGACTGTCCTAGGGTTGTTTTGGTTTTCTGTAAGTTCTGATTCATGATGAGTGCAAAAGTAATGCTTGTTGTTGTGTTCCTAGTGAAGTGCTAGACCTCTATTGAAACCTAATAAGGGAATACATGTTTGGAATGTTTATTTCTTGCTAAACTCTAACTAATGTCTCAATCTTGAAAGCATCTTTAACATAGTAAGCATGCCTATAAGAATAAATGATTAACAACTTTTATTCTGAGATTTTATTTGATCATATTTGGCTGAAACAATGACTCCTAAGAAGATTATGTATGTGTCATGGCATGTAGAGTGATTCTTAGTTGACTCTGAGCCTTTGAAACTTCTTAAACCCTTTTGAGATCCTATAAGTGATGATATACTCCTGCATCATATACTCTAACAGTGATCATTTACTAAGGATACTTTGAATTTGAAGCATGTGTTAATGCCCTGCTTATCTATGTCATTTTACCTAACTGATAATTTAATATTAGTGATAATCTGTGAATAAGACTAGTTTTTTTGAGACTGTTGTGCTTCATTTGATTAAGTCCTTAAACCTGTCATGAATTTAAGAAATTGCATAGACCTTCTGTGTTTTAAGAAGTTTTATTGTGGTTGCTACTTGGGCCTTCTTGACCAATTTGCTTGTGTGAAGACTTTAAGTCAAGATTTATATGTCAAACCTCTATGGAAGAGCAGGGTTCAGTTGTTCATGGCTTCTGTTGTGAGCTTGACTTCACTATCAAAGGACCCCGTCCCTGGCACAAGCACTGTTCCAGGTCCTAGAGACCCTTGTAAACTCCGAAGTGTCAGGGTTCATAGGAAGACTTTGTAGGTGAATATGGTTCATTCTAGCCAATGATGCTTGGCCTTGACTAATCCTTAGAGGGGTGTCACAAATAAATTTTAGCTTAGCTTTGTCCTTTGGATCAAATTCATATTCATCTTTTATGATTCTGTATTATGTCTCAGGTACAAGTGCTAATGAAATCTTTTTTTTGCATGAACCATTGCTAATGAAATCTTTTTTTTGCATGAACCATTTGGGCCTGTGGAGTTCATGATAAACTCTTGCGCAAGACCACTGAGCTGAGCTGCGTACTCTTTCTGTCGGGCCACTGTGCTAAAGTCTGCTGCTGCTTAAATTTAAATTGGGCCTGACTAATTGTCAGCCCAACACAGAGTCAAGTCCTTCTCCTCACTTTATATCATTGTGTCACGACCCAAAATCCCGCCTTAGGCGTCGTGATAGCATCTAATCTCTAAGACTAGGTAAGCCGATTACTTACAACAGTTAAACAAGTTAAATAGGATATTTTAAAGAAGAATTAGATATAAAAATCGAAATAAAGGTGAAACAAGCATATGCGGCAATAATCACTACAACCTCCCAAGATTAGGTAATACAGAGTCACAAACTCTAGATGAATACATAGAAATATCTCAGAGTCAAAATACAATACAGTTCGGATAACGAGTTGATAGTACAATCAAAAGGAAAAGGACTCCAAGGGACTGCGACGACCAAGCAGTTTTACCTTAAATTCTCACGATCAAGAAGCTAACTCCGCTGAGTCCGTTATCTCCAATAACTGGATCAACACAAAAATGTGCAGAAGTGTAGTATGAGTACACCACAGTCGGTACCCAGTAGGTATCAAGACTAACCTCGGTAGAGTAGTGACGAGGTACAAGTCATGACACCTACTAGTCATAATAACCTGTACAGTATATGAGTATAAAGCTAATAAGGTAAGCAAGAATCAGTAAAATGACAATAAGGAATAAACATGTGATATAAACAGTAAAGTAACCCGAACACCGTTAAAGTACCAGCGAAACTAAATAAGATAAACAAATGACAACCAAATAATCAAGCCGTTCTAACACAAGGTTTACAACAAGATTACTCCGAGATACCTCATCTCATAAACACAAGTCACGAGTCTCAAATCACATATCATATGCTCACAACACCTCGTGCCCATATTATCAATTACGACCGCAAGGACAACTCACGTGCCAATATCTCAGTCCGCTTGGCATGGTAACAAGCTCACTATCGCAATCCGCCCGGTGTGGTCACAGGCTCACTATCACAATCCGCCGTGGTCACATGATCAATATCACAATGGAAGCAGATAATACAAGAATACATGTGCATGATCAATGAATGTAAGGTTCCACACTCCTGAACTAGTGTAAACGGCATGCTACGGTGTATGCTTGTGCGAGTGTACTATTACAGTCCAAGTCAACAAGTAATATCAAAGACATCGAGTAGTTCATTGGAAACAACACAACAAGACACGTAAGGCACATAGCACACACACGGAAAATCACACCATCACACAAAATTCATCACATTGTGCCCCCAGGACAAAACATATCAACCCTAACATAGCCCTCTTATCTCTCTGTAATGATAATATCATAATAGCCACCCTTATCACTCTGTCCAGACAATACATCACGATAGCCACCCATATCACTCCATATAATAGCCACTCTTATCGCTCCGCCCAGACAATAAACTCAATAGTCACTCGTATCACTCCGCCTAATCAACAACAGTGAGATGCCACCCTTATGTTCCGCATTAAATAATCAATCGACACAAAAATCCACATGTGCTAACATCACAACAACACGACATATCAATTCGTATCATAAGTGCCCATAGGCCACAACCTTTCCAAAACAGCAATATCGATGTCACCACAACACATATCCCACGGCTCAACCATGATGTGAACAAAAATCTCACTAACAATAGAATGAAACGGAAATTAACTCAACAATGAAAGATACTCCATAAATAACAACTTCAACTAAAGTAGGTTAATAACTCTCAATAAGTCCA